TCTCCCTTGTTCAGGTCAGCTGTTTCTGTGGGTTTCACCTGCCTGGTCTACAATCTCTTCAAATCACTTACACTGGTCTTGAACTCACTCTTTAGCCCAGGAAGCTCTTGAACTTGCCATTCTCCTGACACTGCCTCCCCAGTAGCTGGGATTCAGGCCTGCTTTACCAGGCCTGGCTCATAGTAGGCTCTTTTTGTTGTTGAGTTTCTTGAGATGTTTCTATTACAGCCTAGGTAACCCTGAAGATGACCTGAACTTTCTTTTTTAATTTATTTGTTTTCATTTCATGTGCATTGGTGTCCTGCCTGCATGACTCTTCCAGGACAGCCTCCAAAGCCACAGAGAAACTCTGTCTTGAAAAACTAAAAAAATAAATAAAAATAAAAAATAAAAAGAAAGAAAAAATTGTATAAAAGCATAAACAAAGAAAAGAACCAACAGAAGTCCAGGGCCGTAGCACTCACCTGCAATCCCAGCACTCAGGAGGCAGAGGCAGGAGAATAGCCAACAAACAGTTCAAGGCCAGGAGGATCTATGTGCTGTGTTCCAGGTTAGCCAGAGCTGAACAGTAAGAGCCTGTCTCCACATAACTAGGTAGGTAGATACATAGATACATAGACACATAGATACATAGACTTCACAGCATGCTGATTTAAGGGACTCATTAAAAAAAAAGTGCAGTTAATGGATAAAATCTAATACACAAGCCTCTTTGATAACTGAATAAATTCTGACAGGAACAAATGACAGTTGACATACCCTCCTGTTAAGTGTCTGCAGGTCTATTTGGTTCTCGTGAGTCGACAAAGCCACTTTCATCTTTGTGTCTGTATCCCCCCTAATAAAGGGAGATCAAAGCTCTTTAGGATTTTCCAGACCCAGGCATGGTTTCTTCAGCCAAAAATCTGTAATTTTTCATTGGACTGTCAATAGCAATATTGAGGATGGGCAATTGCACTTGGAGCCTGTACCAAGAACAAATACCTCTCTCAGAGTTTATACAGGGCACAGTCAGGCAAAAAATGGTGGTGGATATGTAGAATTGAAGGTGTAAAGGCTCTCTCCAGCAAGGCTTCATGTGAGTCCCTGTCTCAAAAAAAAAAAAAAAAATCAAGGGGCTGGAAACATGCTCCATGGCTAAGAACACTTGCTGCCCTTCCATAGGAGAGTTCAGTTCCCAGTGCCCACATCAGTTCAGATCCCAAATACCCACATAAAAAGCCAGACTCACAGTGTGAGTCCATTACCCATGTGCTTTGGCGTAAGAGACAGGAAGATACAAGAGAACTTGCTGGGCAGCCAGTCTAACCAAACTGGTGAGCTCCAGGTCAAGTGAAAGACTTTGTCTCAAAAGATAAAATGGAGATCTGTAGAGGGATGCACCCAATGGCAACCTTGGGCACACAGATGCATGTACCATACATGCACACAAACACCAGGGCCAAACAATAACTATAAATGAGCAAATATTTTAAAGAGAGCTGAGAGCCTGGAATGGAAGTGCATGCCTGTAACCCTAGCACCTTGGAGGCAGAAACAAAGGGGTCATGAATTCTAGGTCAGAGTGGGCTGTGTATCAAATGTAAGCACAGAGGGGCCCAGACAACTTACCAAGAGGCTGTCTCAAAATAAGAAAGGGTGGCTTTGCCATGGAGTGGTGGCGCACACCTTTAATCCCAGCACTCAGGAGGCAGAGGCAGGCAGATCTCTCTGAGTTTGAGGCCAGCCTGGTCTACAAAGTGAGTTACAGGACAGGCTCCAAAGCTATGCAGAGAAAATCTGTATCAAAAGAAGAAAAATAAAAAGAAATAAAAGAACGAAAAGGGTGGTTACATAGCTACATGGAACTCCTGCGTACCACACACAGAGCCCAGGATCCAACCCTAACACCACCAAACAGACAGAGAGCAGGGGAAGGGAGAGAGAAAGAGAGACGGAGAGAGGGAAAGGGGGGAAGGAAGGAAGACACTGGTGTTTTCTAGTAATTCTGACCTCATGGAGAAACTCTCCAACTCTACGGTTTGAGTCCAAACACTCAGACTTCACTTTTTGCCATCCTTTTATATCTACACCTACTGGAAGCAAAGCTCATACCCACTCCTGCACTCAGAAGCAAACTGACCAGAGCCAGCAACATGCAGGGCTAAGGCTAGCTTTCTTGGTGCTTTCCCATTTCCATTTATTAGGAAATGGCCACCTAGAGGTGCCAGGATCCAATGTTGTAGGGGTGCTCCCTGTGGGGTCCACTGCTGTGGGGGTGCTCCCTGTGGGGTCCACTGCTGTGTGGGTGCTCCCTCTGGGGTCCACTGTGTGAGGAATGCTCCCTGTGGGGTCCACTGTGTGAGGGATGCTCCCTGTGGGGTCCACTGTGTGAGGGATGCTCCCTGTTGTGTACACTGCTGTGTGGGTCTTCCCTGTGGGGTCCACTGCTGTGCGGGTGCTCCCTGTGGGGTCCACTGCTGTGCGGGTGCTCCCTGTGGGGTCCACTGCTGTGCGGGTGCTCCCTGTGGGGTCCACTGCTGTG